CCAAGACGCTACGGCGGCGTTTTCAAAAACGCCGCCGCACATTTAAGCTGTCCCAAACGGGGCCTAAGCATTTTGTGCGGTATGTATAATAACTCTAACAGTAATAAAAGTATTAATGTTATTAATATCTTATTGTTTTATATAGTCTAAAACAAAATAATTTACAAAAAATATATTATTTTTATTTCAAGAAAATTATATTTAAATTGGCACTATATTTAAAATTTTGAGTGATAATTTATTGTTGAAAAGGTTAATGGCTTATTTTATTTGATGTAAATTATTTGAAATATAAGAATTCTCAAATGTAAACACATTTGTTTGATGTAAAAGAACTACAATGTACTTTTTTTTATTTAGAATTCACCATGTTGATCAAAACTGGTGTATTTGAGATTTATCATATTTGAACGATTTGCAAACACAATGTAAGCTACAATACTGATCGTAAGTTGTCATAATGTCGCTAATCTCATCCCAATGCCGCACCTAATTGTCGACCTTCGTAACCCACCATCGCTACCCCCCACCGCGTTATAATGATTTTTCTTTTCTAAATCATGAACTTCTATTTTTATTTTACACTTAACTAGGCAACGTTAAATAAGAAATATGTCAATTAAACTTCATTCATTTTACTTTATACCTTTTTTTTTTGGAAAATCAAACGTACCCTAAGTTCAAAAGGCAATGGTACACTTCAAATTTTGGCTTATTTATATAATTATATTTATGTACAGATGAATATTAAAAGCTAAGATATTGATTTGAACATTATTCAAATGAGATTTTAATTGTATTCTTATGCTATAAATTAACCTTTAAACATTATTTGATCATGTAATATAAAGTTCTTACCTTTTCTTAAAGTACACTCTTAACACATATTAACATATAATATTGACACACCACACTCCAAATAAATGATTGATTATTTATTCAAATTATGATCAAACACTGAATATGATGTTCAAAGCTCTCATTTTTTAAAACCATGGCCTATCCCTCCACCTCATTCTTATTTAAATAAAGATAAATGATGGTATTACAATTTATGCAATTAAAGTAATACGAACACTCACTTATATTAATTTGAAGAGAATCACAATATAGTTATAAGAAAAAAGAATACCCTGATAAAAAAGTTGCTTATAAAACTAAGAAGAAGCTTTCATGTTGCATGCTGGAAAATTTAGTGATAGAGTGATGAATCAATGTATTAGCATTGTACATCTGTCTTTCTTTTTCTTTTTTTCTTTTTTTTGTGTCGCATTTTGAATAATCTTAATCTTCTATGAGTTAGCTTTGATTCATTGATGAGCGACCATAAATCACAATTTTTTCTTATATGTAACCCCAAAAGCACATTTTGGGGGATTCAGACTTGTTTTGTATTTACATATAAGGCCAAAGCATCACTCAAGCTCCATAAAATTTTGTGTTTTTCCAATACTTTGGTTGACATATCATTAACATATACTTTCATAGTAAGCCCAATAATATATTTAAAAAACTATATTTATGAAGCATTGATAGGTTGCACTATTATTCCTTAGCCCAAATAATAATACATGGTTGCAAAAGATGTTGCTTCATCATCAAAAATCATTTTTATTTGATTATACTCAGAGTATTTATAAAGATAAGCATTGGATGATCCGAGATGGCATTTACTAATTGATCAATTTGATAGAGGTGTAAGCTATCACTTGGTCAAGTTTTATTAAGATAGGTGTAATATATACACATTCTCTATTTTCCATTAAATTTTTTATCCATGAGCCCATTTTCTAACCAGGCAGGACAATGCATCTCTCGAATGAATCTGACGCCTAGAAGTTGATTAACCTTTATTTAGTTGTTTTGAGGCGATTAAACGTAAATTTTATTTCATTTTCTTTCGAACGATTGGTTTGAATATTGAGTCAATTTAATATAATGTCAAATCATTTGAGCATCAATTTCTAGTATATCAATTGGACTCCATGCAAAAATATATTGTTCCTGATGTAAGAAATCAATTTATTATTGTCTTTAATCCTTGGAAGGTAAATAACCCAATTATTTCATTCTTGAAAGGTGCTCATCAAATAATAATATATAAATTAGCTCTTCACAGGTGATGCCATCAAAAGTGTATCTTCATCTAGTAAGCCAAAAAAATACTCTGCTCAAACTCCTTAGGGGTCTTTATAGAGCTTCTTCAAGTTAGCATGTTTATGTCTAATTTCCATGTATTTAACTGATCCTAACAGGAGTTTGAAACATTATCTTTAAATATAGTACTAAGATGATAGCATTAAAATTTGATTGCGGGTGTCTCTCAAATATATCATTATAAGCTGACTTTGATTTGACAACTATAAAGTGAACCAAAGTGAGTTGCTTGTTGAGAAAATTCTCCAATAGTAACTGAGAGATTGATTACTCCTTTCGGTGGTTTTACAGCTAGCTGGAATCACCCACTAACTAAATTTATGCTTAGGAATGCATAATAAAACAAAGTATAACATAAATCCCATTATCAATTAAAATTATCTTAACATTATACAAGGGATCGTTAATCTCAATATTGAGGCTAAGTGGATATAAATGTGGAATATGAATCCTTTACATGTCATAATCATAAAAAAAAAAAAACAGAGTGATCAATATGTGATTTTTTTTTACATGGTTCTCCAGGGTTGGTGTGCATGATTTAGGAATAGAGTAGCAGTTTTCTTGCAATAGTCTCAGTCTTTCATGCAGGGGGCAACTCAACTCCAGACTTAAACTTTCAGAGGATAAGTTGTTATGCCCATGAGTGAAATACAATAATCATATATATTTAAAATCAAATGAAGTCATGTTTGATTTATATAACAAAAGATTTCAATTAAAGTATCATCTTGGACTTCACATTAAGAGAATGAACCACATATTTATTCCCAGGTTGATCATTCAGAAAGCTTTGCTCGATTTTGGTAGATTTGAAAAAATATGATGTTCAATGAAACAATAGATCGGAATTTGAACAAGTAGGGAATAACACCAAGCAAAAAAAAAACTAAAAAGTTCTATAAACTACTAAATGTTGTATAACAATCATCTTAGGGAAGTTGCATGATCCATTATGAGTTATCTATAGCTTTTAGAGTGTTGAATATCAAAATAGAATGTAAATGTCGTGGTAACATTTTAATTAAGTTATAAAATGACCAAATAGACAGATCAAAAGAAATTTTTGTGTCACAAAGCACGTATTATACAAAAAAGAGGATGTTCAAGTTTTACTTAATATTGGAGAATATAGATTATTGTGTGAACACTACATGTTTGATGGGGTTAATGCAAAAGTGACCAGTACAAATTTTTGTGAGGATTTAAGATTCAAACCATAAAACAAAAAATAATGGACAAATAAATGTTGCATACAAGTGTTTATTCCATTTCACACCTATTTAAAGTATTAATATTGTATTTATTTTCATGCACATTGCTTCAAATATGAGATGACCTCGAAATGGGTTAGGCAAAAAAAATAATTTGACTCATTTGATAGATGAAGAAGCATGAAAATATTTTGATTGTAATTACCATGAATTTATAGTTAATTCATGTAACATTAGGCTTGATTTTTGTTTCAATAGTTTCACATCATATAATCATGGTTCAGCTCTCTCTAACCGATTAGGATCACTCAAACCTTCCTTTAATAAACCTTTGAGCCATCTCGCTTCTTTTGATGGTTCGTCAATGTTGTCTCGCGGGCCCCGATTGCAGATAAGTCGTCCCTCATTTGGGATATGTGATTCTCCCTCTGCCTTTATGACATGACCAGGCTTTGAAAACACACTGCGGACCCTACGAGTCTACTGGATTACTTTACGAGCCTCGTGTCCATTTAGGGATGTGAGAGATCTACTCTCTGCTATGTGGTTTGGCGAGAGCTTTGAAAGCCATGAGATGTTCCTATGAGGTAACCTTCCTTTGTGATACCTTGTATTAGTCATTACCTAAATGTAAGTAGGGCTTCTGTAATCTAGAGTATTATTGGATGTCCCCCAAGATGTAATTAACCAAATGGATATGTCCTTTTGAGAGTTGTTCTTAATCTCAAAACAAAACGTTCTTTTGGTTCTCTAGTTACATGTGTAGCTTATGTATGTATTTTTTCATGGATATTTGGTTCAAGGTGTCTTATTTCGATCATGTTCGATGTACACGCTTGACTTATCGCACTAGGTTTACCTCACATAAGCTCTCTATGTTATTTTCTTCAATTTGTCAGTCA